GTAGTTAATTCTTTTCACATTTCTTTTAAATATTGTTACAACATTATTAAAATAATGTTGCAAATCTATATTTTAACAATGTTTCTGAAGCATTGCATTGCAATATGCAATGTTGCAACTTTGCTGCAATATTGCTGCAAACTTCTGTGCTGTATGGGTAAGGATCATGATCTTATTTGGCATTTTAAACTAGAAAATATTAATAATATGTGTATACACGAATAGTTAGAATGCTTTCAAATATTTTGTTAATCTATATGAATACAATACATATATCAAAAATACTTATTTAGATAAGAATAATTGGTCGCGCGGGAGATGTAAATAAACCAAATAAAATAGGCGATCGATTCAAAATCGAACCATTGTTGATTCGAAATTCACGAACTATTCGATTTCGAATCTTGCAGATTCGAAATCGAACTCGAATTAAATCTACTGATTCGATTCGATTCGATTCGATTCGAATTTGAACTACATATTCGCACACCTCTAGAAAAAAAAACATCTTTTTTTTCATCCTCAAGTTTTCAAAGCCTTGAGTTTAAAGAAAGTGGAAAATGTAAAAATTGTATTTAATACAATTTTCTTCCCAATATTAACGTTCATGTCACAATTAAACGATTTTCTCAGGACTACCTCAAATCGTGATCGACGAAAATGTGACTCAAATAATTTATCTGTTGCCTTATCGTTTTCATCTGTTCTACACGGTCGAGAACATGCGCGTGTACACGATCTCGTACGTCTTGGAGATGCCGTTCGTCTTCGTCAGTGGTTTCGGACAAAGCGCCGCCGACTGCATTATGGTCACCCTTGTCTTTCACATTTGCGGCCAGATGTCGGTTCTCGCTTTGCGCATTAACAATATAGACACCGGGCTCAGCGATTGCAAGAGTGAAGTGCGACGTGTGGTGCTCATGCATATACGATTATTACGGTGAGCTAACGCAAATGCACGAAATAATAGCTAAAAGCTATTTGTATTGTTTGTCAAAAACTCTCTTTCAGTTTTATATTCCAATTGAAAATCTTTAAGCTTCCTTTACTTTTGTTCAAAATAATATAAGGTCTTGTTTGATAAAATTATCTTCATTTTTCCGATTCTTTTCGAAATCGGAACTCAGATCTGTTCATCCTGAACATATAGTATGCCTGTTCATCATAAGTCAATCCTGAACATATAGTATGCCTGTTCATCATAAGTCAATCCTGAACATATAGTATGCCTGAGTATAATAGAAATTTGGTGTAAATACCTGTTATTATCAACTTTTATTTAAATAAATTGGATTTACATAATTTGCCTTATCAGGATGGGAAAAATAATAAGAAAAGCATTCAATGTGACGTTGCTGGCGCATCTTTTAGGAGCTACTTCTCTCGTGTGCATCCTCGGTTATCAAATTTTAACGGTAAGTCATATAATATTGTTATGATGATCACACGAGACATGACACATTTATGTATCTATAAGCAACTTTAAACGCGCAAATTTAATTTTTATGGTGCATTTTTTGTTGTTATATGTTTTAATAAGGTTTCTATAACAAGCATTTTGTATTATGATATAAGACAATTATAAATTTATGTCTTGACATATGTAGTAATAAACTCACAAATTACAACTTCAGAAATTTAGAATAAATCTGTGTAGAAAGAATTTCTCGTAGCATTAATGACACTGTTTCAATTAAGATAGAGGAGACCGGGGCTAGTTGATACAGATTTTTTTAATGATTTTTTTCATATGTAACTAATAAATAAAATAAATATCGCAAAGATATTTTTTAATAGCCACATGCTTCAATAACATAGAAATTATTTTTATGATTTAATAATATAATTAATTTTGTTGTATTAATGGAAAATGTAACATACTTTGTTACAACCAGTCCCAACTTATCATATTTACATATTTTAATTGTTACTTAAGCAAAAAATATATTTTAAGACGTTAATATAACTGTAAGTTATTACTTATAAAGTAAAGATTCTAAAAAAATAGTTAAAACTATAATATAATAAGCAGATTTATAAATATAGCATTTAATATATCATTGATTTATTTTACTTTTGGGTATCAAAAACTAAAATTATTTTTTATTTCTGAAAATA